GGAAGACATGGCACAGCAGCTCCTGCGGGCTGAACAACAGTATGAAAATAGCCTCAGGCTTTGGGAAACTGAGCACAAAGTAGAGAGAAACAAGCTCCTGCAAGACCTGGTATGAAACAATACACTTCTGAATTTTTCCTGCAAGCTTTGTGGGCTGGCTTTAGTAGAGTAACCTGAGTGAGTGAAATGGCAGCAATGGTCTGTCATAGGACATATGTTGCAAGGGGCAGGCAGCAGAGCCAACAGCTCGTGGTGGAAGGCACCCAAAAACCCACAGGACTGTGCTGGGACAGCAAATGCAGCCACATATTCAGTGACTCAGTGTGGGCATAAGATGAGTTCAGCAGAAGACTGGACTGCAAATTCTGGCTGCAGATCTGGCAGCTCCTCCTCAAAAAACACGAGAGCTAGAAGAGGTTCAGGGAAGGGCCAAAAGGATGATGAGACTGTGCAAGTAAGCTGGGGAAGATGCAGCCTAAAGGGTGGTGCAGGAAAGGTCTACAGCATCCCCAGGGGCAGCCCTTGATTGCCACTGAGGCAGGAGCTCAATTCTGGTACGAAAAGCAAACCTCTGTAGATGGAATTACTGAATCTTTTCCTCCCTGTTGTGCAGCGTGAACAGGACAGACTGCAAGTGCTTACAGAAGAACTGATACGGGAGATAAAACTTCTGCAAGAATCAGTCTTAGCCTCTGAAACCCAAGCAAATGCAGCAACAGAGATGAATCACTGCCTTGAAAAAGAGCTTCAAGATTCTTTGCCTCTCTTAAAAATTAAAAATGAGGAAGTAAAAACACAGTGGGAGAAAATCCAGATGCTCCAGAAAGAGGCAGCACAAGGAAAAGCTTTACAGGAGACCCTTGCTCATATGAGTGCCATCCTCTTAGACAGGGAGGAAGAAATCAAGTTGCACCAGGACCAGAAGAGAATGCTGGAAAAGCAGACAGAAATGCATAAGGCTACTCTTGATCAGGTTACAAAGGACACATATGAGAAAAACCACAAGATGGAATCCCAGCAAGAACAGATACAGCAGCTGGAGAAGCTACGAGAAAAACAAAGCATCACTGTGAGCAAGATGAGCAAGGACCTGGAAGAGAGAGACAAGGACATCAGATCCCAGCAAGAACAGATATGGGAGCTGGAGAAGCAGGGAGAAATGCAGAGGGCTGCTGTCAGCAAGAAGTTGAAGGAAAAAGACTTGGAGCTTATGTCTCTGACTCAGCAGATCCAAGAACTGGAAACGGAGAGACAACAGGCAAAATCTCTGCACACAAGCCTTGAACACCCAAGGGCAGAACTTAAGGACAGAGAGAGGGAGTGTGATTCTCAAAGGCGTCAGTTAAGACTCTTGCAGCAGTACAAGGAACAACAAGAGGGGCACCTACAAGAGTTTAATGATAACATAGTTAAGATGACACTTTCTTTGTCTAAAAATGATCAAGAGCTTCCATCACAAGAAAAGCAAATCCAGGAAGCAGAAGAAATAATGGAAATGCAGTTGAGGACTGTCATTGACCAACAGGAGCAGACCTTAGAAACCTTAAAAGACAAAGACAGACTTGAAGACATCCAGAAGAAACAAACAAGTAGCTATGAGGAAAAAACTGAAGAACAGATGAATGCCTTACACAGAGACTTGGAATGCACTTCAGCACTACTGAAAGAAAAGGACTTAATTATTGAATCTCAGGAGAAACTGATCGAGACTTTTCAAAAACATGAGGAAGACTCTAAACAGCAGAAGAAAAATCTGCAGCATCTTCAAGAGGTGCTACAGGAGAAAGAGCAAGAAATTTTATCCCTTAGAAAGCAATGTGAGGCATGCCAGGAAAAGGAGGAAATGTTCCTCAAGCAAATGAACATTTTCCAGTCTAGTGAAGAAAGAAGGAAAGTAGCACTTACATCGCACCAGAAGGAAGTGAGCCTTCTTCAGAAAATGGTGATGAAGAGAGATGAAGACATGGAAACTCTTATGCAGAAACTCCAGTGCCAAGAAGAAGAACTGAAGACCTTGCAGAATCTCCAGCTTAGGCTAACTGAGAATGAAGAGGTTAGACATGAGAGGGAGCAAGAAAAGTTCCTGGTAGAAGCCCTCCCTGAGAGGGAAGGGGAGACCACGGCTCAAGGTCA